TACTGATAAATGGCAAAAAAAGAGTGCCTAAAAATTGCGCTTTTTTTTGCAACAATTTTTAATTTATCATTTGATAAGTTTGGCTATTGAAAAGATGGGTATTCTTAACATCGATGTGACGTGCGGTAAATATAATACCTCATTTGGGTGAAGTAGCGCCGCCGTTTTTGCTATGAAAATCCTATGTTGCGCTGCAGAACGGTACTTAAGATAGCTGTTGCCTACTGCTTCTATTGCTTTTGCTGTTTCTGATACTGCTGTTGGTGTTGTGAAAAATGTAAATGAGAATGTGTAAATGATGAAGAAGAAGAAGGAGAAGAAGGAAATTATTAAGATTTAATTGGTAATTTTGTTGGGGCCAAACTGATCGATCAACAACACTGCGGTTGGCAAATGACTAGCAGGTGTATTATTTTCAAGGCCTTTTACAGTCAACTAAGAGCTTATTGCCGTTTTTTTTTTCCTTTCTTTCTTTTTTAATTATCAATTAGTGTTTCACCGATTATCGACACTGCTGCAGAATCATTAATTTAATTAGTTTTTACTAATTTGATTTTTTTTTTTTAAATTTTAACAAAAAAAAAAAAGAGGAAAGGAGAAGTACTTTTTTAGTTGACTTCTGTATACGTAAAGAAAAGAAAAAAAACTGAAATAAATTTTATTAGTGGTAAATAAATGATTTCTTAAAAAATTTATGTTGATTGTTTAAAATTTCTTTTTTTTTTTTTGATTTGTTAGAACAATTGTTCCTAATTTATTTCTACTTTTTCTGTTACTAATTTCTTTTACAATACTGTATACCTTTTCCTTCTGTCGTCTCCAAAACAAAAAAAAAAAAGACTTTCTTTTTTCATTTATATCCCCATCACTATTCTACTTTAAAGGGCAATCAATTTTGTTGATGCAACAAAACATGGATTTCGTGTGGTTCTATTGGATTCTTTTGTACAGTCGTATCTGTCAGAAACCCAAATGCCCACATTATTTATCACAGCAATTCCACTGAAAGCTGATGATAGTTCATTTACAAAAGTTGTGGTTCCAGATAATATTCGTATTGATAAGCAGGTGAGTAAATTTAATTCTCTAAACATTGCATTAAAAATTGTATTGTTTTTTTTTTCTGACTTCAAAATTTCAGAAACCTATTGTTTTGTTTATTTTATACGTACGCTAAAAATAGGGTAAAATTTTGCTGTTGCATAAATCACTGATACACACACAGCACACACACACACACACACACACACACAGTGTTACTAAATCACTCCATTGTTTTTGACAAATTTTCTTTCAATTTTTTCTTTTCTTTTTTTTTCTTCTCAGGTGAAAATCACAGATTTACGCGAACGTTCGTGGTACTACATTTGTATTGAGTGGGAAAACATTAACCGTTATAACGAATCCACTGGTACGGACTGTCGTATTTTAAGAACACTTGACAGGTTTGGGAAGAGTGCGGAATCGACGATACCCGATATTGACATTGTGGATATTGGTGCAACAACGATGAACTTTAGAATTCGTTCAATTGCTGATTTTCCACTTAGGTTTATATGTGTCTGCTTCAACAAACATAACGCTGTTTTTGAATACAAATATTTTTGGACAGAAAATTTATGATTAATTTATTTTTATTTTTTTCTTAGTTCTTTTTTTTTTTTTTTTGGCTGAAACAGTACAGATTTAAAAAAATGTTGAAAAAAAAACATCCGTTTTTGTTGCTAAATCAAATTATGTTATTTAATTACTTGAAAATTCCAGAAATTTTTCATATTTATTTTTTTTGCCATTTGGATTATTGGGAGACTAATTTTTTGTGAAAAACAAAGAATATTCAATAAATAACGTAACAATCTATACAACGTTTCATTTTATTTTTATGTTTACTTATTTTGTTTTGTAAACTTTTAATGAAAAAATTGAGGCTGAATAACGGACATCTTTTTGGGGTGTTTTTATATATGTTGCTGCAAAATTTGAGAGAAGAAAATTTTTTTTTCTTTTTTCCATTTTTTGTTTATCTTTTTCTTCACTCAAACATTTTAGAAACGGCTAATGATCTATGAGAACTAAAACAATAAAAGCATATCTATCTAATTCATTTTTTTTTTGGCATTTTAAAAGCTGTCAAATAAATTGCTTGGCTGTTTTGTTTTTGTTTATCCATATGCAAATTAGAAAGCTTAATAGTGAATATATGCTCAAAATGGAAAAGAAATTCTTCATCACTTCTTGACGAGTTACCAGTGAGTGCTAATCGCCAATTATTTATACTAATTATAGGCTGACAGTCTATTTGGAAGGCGGAACAGGCAGTATAGCACCGGCACAAGAGTTTGTTTTTCATGAGACAACAGAAATAAATGTTGAATTCAAGAATCTGAAAGAGGATACCAACTATGGTGAATTATGCTTTCTTGAAGAACCGTTAGCCAACGGTTATACCGCTTTGGGAAGGCATATCAGTGGACTAAACATCAGGAAATGCTACTTTGGTAATATTTGAAATATTGCAAAATTCATTATAACAGTAACAACATTAATTCTTGATCTTTTTTTTTTTTTGCAATAGACTTTATTTTAAAAAAAAATCAGATAAAACATTTTGGTTACAGTTATATTTCACTGTTATTTAGTTAGTTTATATATCATAAAAAATGGTACAAGAAATTGACCGGATGTTTGACATCTTAACGGTTAGGGTCAGCGCATTGTTGAGCGGTATTACTTTATCTTGGTTAGGGCAACGTGATTTTGCTGCTGTATTATGTTATATGATCATAAAAAAAAATTTCTTAATTAAAAAAAGCAAAAAAAAAAAAAAAAAGAAAAATGAGAGAAACTTATAGGATCGTCTAAAACTTAAAATAACATAAAACTTGAAGACAACAGAAATATATGGGTGGAAAGAAAAAACTTTAGGTTTTAAACAAGTTGGAATTTTTATGGTACATACAATGCGTTCAACTTTTTTGTCTGTTTAGCAAACAGCAGCAATAGTTCAGCGAAGAAATGTTAATAAAGAAATAAAATATTTTGTGAAAAATTTTGATATTGATCTTGCAAAAAATGTATTGGTTATAGCAAATCTACAAACCAAGGACTACATCCTGTCAACATCAGGTATCGAAGCATTCCCATTACTTCGTGCTTCTTCTGCTTCTGTATTTCCAATGACAACAGTTATAATTCTATTAGTATTTTCACTGCTATTTTTTTAACCGTTTATAAAATTGGTTGATTGCTTAAGTGACATATCTGTTGCACAGATTGTATCTAGAAAGCTCTAATTATGGCACCTACTATCCTTCAGCTATAAAACTGTTGTTCTTTCTTATAAGAGTTTTTCCCCGTTTACACTGTAATCTATTTGCAAATTGTATGTATATTGTAATAGCTAATTTTTTTTCTACTTTTCTAATTTCTTTAAATAATTATTTAAAAAAAAATTTTTTTTTTTGTAACAAATGCTGTTTAAAAAAGCAAAAAATTTTATCAATGCCTTTACTTTTTATCACATTTAAATTTTCCTTCTTTTAGTATTACTGTACGAAGATCTCGCAACTTTTGTTATTGCTTTTTATTTGTCATTTATATGTTAATACCATATAAGTATTCATGCATTTGCAGTGTGTTTGCTCTTTTTTTTTTCCGGGTATTTATTCATTTAAGCATTAACTGCTAAAAGTTACATTTTTTTTTTGTTTTGATTACCAAACGTCATCTGACAATAGTTTAGAAATAGAAGTTAATTTGATGAATAAGTGTTGAAATGAATTTCCTCTGCAACTTTCAGTTTCCTGATCTCTTAACGTTAAATGTTGAACGAATGAATGAATGAATGAATGAATGAATGTGGTATTTCATGTGTAGTTCTTAGTGATAACTGGTGGTATATGAAAAAAAGCTAGGTTGTTGAGCTCAATACTTCTAAAAAGAGCTTTCAAAAAAGTACTAAATTTTTTGCACGGTTGAGGACTGACTGTCAAATTTCTCTAAAAATTTGAGAAAAAAATGTTCTGATTTCAGGAATCTGTTTCATTGGTCTCTCTTCAAATCTGAGTGATTAATCACTTTTATTTATCTCTTAAATTACTCAGATGTTTTGAGTGTGTGATATATACTGTATGTCTAAAACACCTAGTCAAATTTTGTTAAATAACTGCTTATCACTACTTTTTTTTTTTTGTCTTTTTCACATTGTACTAAACAGTTTAGTTTTATTCCTTTCTTTTTCTTTCTGTTTTTAACAAGGAAAACACATGGCAAGCTCTATGATAAAGATTTGTGTGAGAGAACTCCATATTTAGGTACCGTGTCGTTGCAAAAGATCGTTTTTTTTAGCGAAACTTTTAGGAACAGGCTTGCCGTTGTTGTCTTATAAAACAACTTTATTGAATGTTGTATTCCCCCGTATGTTGTATCCCACATACCGTAGCAGTTCTATGTAAGAATGTCAGGTGCGACGATAGTCATCCTAAGATTTATTGTTATTTGTTAGCTCGCCCAGGTTTCATTTTAGTCGGTGACTGTTTAAGTATTTAAAAAGAAGACAATGGTGGGAAGGTAAAGTGAAATCGAATGTTACGAAACTTTTATTTGTATTGTGTTTATCAATATTTTGAAAGTTGATTGATACTATCTCTTTGATATACTTCTCTTCTTTGATATTATACCTGACATATGCTCTGTTTGACATCGAATGCATTTTTCAATATGCTTCATTTACATTTCATCAGTATTAGCATTATATTTCTTCATTGTTGCTTTAAAACATTATATATTTCAGTAGTCTACGTATATATCAATGATTTTATGCTTTATCAAGCATTCTCAAACTGTCTTTTATCTGTTGTTTGAGAAGAGCTCACAGAATATGTCTAACTTAATTTTTGCATCTTTAAGCTGCATGTATTTTTTTTTACACTGATTATATCGTTCTTAAAAGTCACCTATAAAACAATGAGCCTGAAGAGTGTTAACCTGAACACTACCTCTGCCGATCTGCTCACCAAGTAGATGTGACGTGTTATGTACCTGAATTTCAACAATTCACAGAAGTATCAGTGATCAATTAATCATTTTTTGTTTTTCACATTATCAACAGCTATTATAAAAGCTTTAAAAGTAATTTCTTTGTACTGAAAAAAAAAACACATTTTTAACCGTTTTCATTAAACATTCTTTTCTGAACAATCACAGGAAAAAACGCGTAACAAGCTGAGATCAAAAAATTTACTGTTTAACCAGGAACATGCTTTTTCACCTTTAAGGTTACAAATAAATACTGAACGTTTATAAATTTTCTCCAAAACAATAGAAATCTCTGCTCTTTCAAATTTTTCTATAAATAAACACCAACTTGTGAAAAGATGAGAAAGCAATTAACTTTTTTCATGCCTCGTTCTTTAGCTGCTTGGTTTCTAAATAAAACAAAAAAAAAACAACAGACTTTATTCTAGCATTATTAAAAAAGTAATTTTCAAATCTCAAGCATCGTCAGCTAATAATAAAAATTCGGGACAAACTTTTCATATATAATTCTTGCAACTGCAACCAATATCAACCATATTTGTGTTGTTTTCCAACGAAAAAACATTGAGATTTACATTCTACTCCTTGATTAACTAACTTCTCGGTTCTTATCTGTGAAATATCCTAATTTCTTCACTGCATCAATAGTTCGCATAATTTTCTTGTTAACCTGAAGAAGTAATTGTTTTAACAAAAAAAAAGTATAAAGAAATAAATAAATAAATAAATATATATATATATATATATAT